CCAAATAATCATATAGACTGAATAAAGGTTTGAATTATTTAAATAAATAGATAAATAAATACATGATATTATTTTATCTCGAAATTACAGAGTAGCTTAGAAACTAATATCTTCGACTATGCAGTATATGCTTCGGGTAGGCACTTTTCTAACATGCAATCCTTAATTCTGATGATCGACGTCCATATAACAGAACTCAACTAATACTAGCGCTTGACGTTGAAATATATATCTCCACAAGCCTTCTATATATTGTAATCAGAATCAGTAACTTTTGACCAAAATTTAAGTTTTTAATTTTTGTGCTTTTGTTGGGCAATATCCGTTCGAACTGGCTGAAAAATTGCTAAAGTACCGAAATTTGCCTGGGAAAAGCTCAAACTGCAGTGCGTAACGAAAGTTTCGCCATTTTGCAAATGAATCTAGCTCGCACAGCGAGATATTTTGAACACAGTTGCGTGGCGTACAAGTAGAAACCCTCAGATTGGTGGTAGATTCGTTATTTATTAGTATTTTTTGAGGTTATTAAGGCCTTGATATAAATTTCTTTATTCATCGTTACAAGAATGTCGCAATTCACTGCTCCATATGCATACGTTGTTCTCTACATTTACATTTGGCAGTGGTTCCTGTCTATTCAAGCTATGTTTTTATGATGGAAAATGAAAAAAACTAACGCAAAAAAAATCATTGAAGTGAAACTGACTCATGCATGTACAGGAACACATATTTCGACTTCGGCTATCTAGCATCTATGACAGATGATAGAGCAATCAAAATAGTTAATTATTCCAGCTTCGGCTTATTACTGAATTGTTCGAGAATTTTAACTTACCTTGGCGATCTTGATAAATGAGTTGTTTTTCTTCTGAGAACGTTAATGTTAAGGTTCTAATAACCAAGGAACGTTTCCTAGGAGACAAAGAACAAATGCTTTTTTGTTTGTTTCGCATGACAACTTGACGTATAATTATAGCCTGCGGTTAGAAACAGGTTATGAAACCTGAACTGACAAGTTGATGCACACAAAAAAATTAATTAAAAAACTGATGATTATAATTTTAACCTATTAAACGGCACATCCTTTCTTCTGAGAGCCGAAACAAAACCGGATGCTTTAGCAGGCTATACTCTTTTTTTTGTCTATAAGAATATTATTTTTCTGCCGATTTTAGGCTGAAAATATTCTTGTGAATATTCTTAGCTTATAGGAATAAAAAGCGGACTATGTCGAAAAAACGTCAGATTATCTTTCATATCCAGTGACATTGATGACGTTGAAGTAATTTTGGAGCCAGTCTGCAGGCATCAAAGCCTCAGTATGATGCAGGTCGATGCACATAACTTACCTTCTTGCAGAAATATTATTAGCATCGAACATACGGCTAGTGCTTAGTTTGTTTTTCTTTTGGCTATATTTTTGCCATTTAAAGAAAGGAAGAATTTATGCGGTTTAGAAAAACATACATATCTTTCGTAAATGTTTACAATTTCAAACCAAAATTGGAATTACGCTTGATGACCTAATTCCTAGTATATTTCACTTAACTTTTTCGTTTCTATTTGTTTGCTTTGAAAAATACGTAGATGGCTAAAACGCGGTAACAAAAACCCCAACGATGACCAATTTTCCATGTCACTTATGTAGATTCCATCAAGCAAATAAGTCAATGTCTGTCATAAAACACTTTAAATTCTTACTCGGGTAACGGGTTCTCCGTCCTGTGAACTCTTGCCTGGGTTCCGGGATCTCTTGAGATGGGTGTGTATGTTTAAAAGTTGTAGTAATGTGAGCCGGCTACAACACATGCAGACGAATTAAAGGAAGTGGCAAAATTGTGGCGTCGGTAACCGGAAGAAAGTGTGTCAAACTCGATCAACCGCCAGGATAAATAGCGGTAAAAAATTTGTCGCTGTATAGCAATGTTCTCTGTAACAAAGGTCTGGGAAAGAAACAAGACAACTTGCCCACATAATAATAATAATAATAATAATAATAATAATAACAACAACAACAACAATAACAATAATAATAATAACAACAACAACAACAACAATAATAATAATAACAACAACAACAACAACAATAATAATAATAGTAATAAATAAATAAATAAAATAATAATACCAAATTAATATTTTAAGAGGAACCTCCAATCACTTAGAGGGGGTTTCCAGGAGGGTCCTCTAACAATATTCATCAAATGTCTAAAATACAGAATTAATTACATGAGCCAGGAAATATTCCCCGACGATTGAAGACACCGCCCTATACATAGCCTGCTGAGATCTTATGTATTTTCCCGTGAAGCTCACGTTCAGTTCAGGAGAATTTCAACCAGCTGATATTTTCCTGCGTTCATAGTCTCAAGAAATTAAAGGTTCGAAATTGGTTTGTCTGTAAGAAAAAATCCCTAGTAAGTAACTAGGAAAAGTATACTCTTAAAGAATATTTTAAGAAAGACCCGAGGCTGAGATGTTTTAAAAAAAACATAATTTTGCGTGTTGAAAATTTGTAAATACAATACTTTTATATGTTTTTAACTAAACCGTATAAGATTCTTCCTTTCTAGCCAAAGAAAGCAACAAAAAGAGGCATGTTTGGTGCCTAAAAACATTTCTGCAAGAAGTTATGTGCGTCATATCAGCTTAAATGCCTGCAGGCTGGCTCCAAATACAGACACTCGAAAACAGAAATGCCATTCGCTATAATCATAGTATACTCACAGGAATATTTTCTGTCTAAAATCGGCAGAAAANAGTCTCAAGAAATTAAAGGTTCGAAATTGGTTTGTCTGTAAGAAAAAATCCCTAGTAAGTAACTAGGAAAAGTATACTCTTAAAGAATATTTTAAGAAAGACCCGAGGCTGAGATGTTTTTAAAAAACATAATTTTGCGTGTTGAAAATTTGTAAATACAATACTTTTATATGTTTTTAACTAAACCGTATAAGATTATTCCTTTCTAGCCAAAGAAAGCAACAAAAAAAGGCATGTTTGGTGCCTAAAAACATTTCTGTAAGAAGTTATGGGCGCCATATCAGCTTAAATGCCCGCAGGCTGGCTCCAAATACAGAGACTCGAAAACAGAAATGCCATTCGCTATAATCATAGTACACTCACAGGAATATTTTCAGTCTAAAATCGGTAGAAAAATAAGAATATTCAGCCCCGGCCGAAAAAAAAAAGAAAACAATATTTTTGTAAAAAAAGAGTGTACTCTCTTTAGACACACGAAGAGAGCTTTTGAGCGTGACGAGTGGAATAATTTGGGAAAACGTGACCTGAATCGCTCAGAACCCTTTGTGCGCGCGTCACATCACATCCTGCGTGATTGACGTAAGCGTTGGTGATTATGCAAGAGAATAAGGTGTTAATTTTCGTTTACAAAAGGCATTGCACAACAAGCGCGTTACATGTAAACTACACACAGTACGTTCGTGTTGAGCAGAGAGCAAATAGAGTGTATTTTAGCAAATTAAATCCAACATGCGCTGCACAAAACTCGAAGTAACCATTTTGCTTGGTGTGGGAATATTTCTAATCGGCACAATTTCTCTGGTCGCGATTACTGTACACAAAGTGTTTCCTGCGCGCGAGGAGCAAAGCTTGAAAGCCATAAACTGTACAATCATTTCTGGTAATATGGAAGCTAGAGCAAAATGCCAGCATAAAGCACGTGATCATTCGACTTATCCGTGCTTGAGGGTTTATGTTTTGTGTGGAGCAGACGCGAACAGAAATGTTTCTTTGGTGAAGGTGCAGCCCCAGTTGTTACGGAAGGACTTTCACAGCCTCCAGAAACAGGTATGTACAAAACTGTTCAGTTTGTACTTGTTGGGCCTTCGCAAATTCTGTGTTGTTAAAACTGGATTTTTTCGAAGGATAT